ACACTGTCCTCATGTCCTGACTCTGTCCCCGTGTCCTGACTCTGTCCTCATGTCTTCACACTGTCCTCATGTCCTAACACTGTCCTCATGCGTCTCTTTGTGTCTCTGTGTCTCTGTCTCTCTTCGTCTCTCTGTCTCTCTGTGTCTTTATCTTTCTGTCTCTTTCCATCCCACAGTTCCCACTTCTCCCAGTTTCTTCACGAAGGTTCTGAACCAGACGGCGATGCAGGTGTACTGGGACCTGCCGGTGCCCGGGAAGCTGGAGGGCTTCAGACTGGAGTACCGCAGGGTTTCTAACCCCAACGTCCAGGGACAGGAAACCATCCCTGCTCACATCAACACACACACAGTGTCTCACCTGGGTCAGTGTCTCTCTGTCTCTTCTCTGAAGGATCATGTGTCTTTCTCCTGAGCTCCTGAATAAATCCAGGAGAAGTGTGAGGACCCTCCACATGTTGAGCGTGTCCCCTGACCTCAGCGTGTCCCCGGACCTCAGCGTGTCCCCGGACCTCAGCGTGTCCCCTGACCTCAGCGTAGAATCAACCTAATTGAACTGTTAGCTCTGCTGAGGCTGCTGGTCAGAGCAGGTCCATGAGGATCTAGTGGAACTGGTTCATGTGCAGCACCAGAGTCCAGAACACATCAGACCTGATCTGTTTTTCTTGACTTCCTGTAGAACCTGCAGCGGTGTATGAAATCCAGCTGGTGGCGTTTAATGGGAATGGAGACAGTCCAGCCAACCGGCGCCTCGTGTCTCTGGACGAGAGAGGAAACACAGTATCAGGTAGGCCCTGACCCCTGACCCCTGACCCCTGACCTCTGAACTCTGACCCCTGACCTGTGTGTGTGTGTGTGTCTCTCTCAGCTGGTCCGACCTGTAACTGTGATCAGTCTGATGGATCCGTCTCCACTCTGCTGGTCGGGCTCCACAGTGGCCTCGCCTGCATCCTCTGCTGCATCATCTTCATCCTGCTGGGATACAGACGCAGGTAAGAGCTTCATCATCATCATCATCCTCATCTTCATCATCTTCATCCTCCTCATCTTCATCTTCATCATCTTCGTCATCATCTTCATCATCTTCATAGTTTTTCTATTTTCAGCCTGTTCTGTAGGAAGGCAGTGAGCTGGGATGCTCCACCCACCCTTAATGATGTCAGAGGTCCTAAAGGTCAAACACCTGAAAACATTGAGCTCAGCCAGGTAACACACACACACACACACACACACACACACACACACACACACACACACACACATCGGGGGGGGGGCAGCTGTGGAGAACAGCACATGTGAATAAGTTGAGTTTGAAATCAATTCTGCAGTTTCTCAAACGATTCCTGACTTTTAACTGAGTCTGTGAGATCAGTGAGAATCTTCTTCTCTGTCTGTGGCTTCACTCCCTCCTCATCACGTTTAATCCTCATCTGGTCTCTGACGTCTCTGACGTCTCTTTGCCTCGTTGATTACCACGTTTCATTTCCTGGTAAATATTCTGTTAATTTTGACCCATCTACTCCTCCCACAGAGATGTGACTCTGCCCCTCCTCCAGTGATGGTCATGGTTGAACCAACACCACCCGTCCAGCCAATCACAGGCACTGGATAAACCTCCCCCTGCCCCCCCGGCTCCTGTGCTTCTGACAGCCTTACACCCCCCTGAAGGACACACTGAGATTAATGAAGATGATGATGTCACAGGGATGAAAACGCACACGTTCAGATGAAGAAATTCTTCTTCACACTGAAACCAAAGTCAGATTCTTTTTTCATGTAGCTCATGTGAACGGTTCCCGTGTGACATCACTTGCTGATGTTTGCTGTTGAAACCAAAACCTTTTTTCTTTGGTTCATTTTAATTTAGTCACCGTCAGTGCCGAGTTTCCTGAGACGATGAGTCCTTCAGCCGGTCTGACCAGAGACGGGCCGTCAGCAGGGGGCGTCGCTGCAGCGTGTCCATCTTCTGGGGCCCAGAGCCAAAGTGATTTATGATGTCTCTGGTCAGCAGGCGTCTGAGGAGGACGTCAACTGTCCTCTGCTTTAGCCTTTTAGTGCTTCTCACCTCAAGTCAGAACGCAGAGAAAGCCGACAGTCCCCCACCCCCACCCCCCGCTTCACCAGCAAACTACCTCCAAAGAGAGCGACCTCAGACTGGAAACACCCCGAGTCTCCTGCTGCTGGTCACCTCCCTGAAACCAAAAGGCCACTTTGTCATTTGCCTACCTCTTTGTGCCAAACTGACCCCGACCTGACCCTGAAGCCCTTCAAATCTGAATGTTGCTTGTCTGACCCCGCCCCTCGCTCTTCAGCTCTCTGACTTTGTTTTTGTTTGACACTTCCTGTCAGACTGAAGCTACTTCCTCCACGATTCAGACAAACAAAAGTTTTATTTTGTTCAGTAATTTTACATATTTACTTACTTATAACTTCAGTCTGTTTATGATACTTGTCATCATTTTGATTTGTAGTTGACAGGAAGTGACGTCAGCCACTTTGTCAGAGTCTGAAATAGTTTCCTTTAAATAAAATTCAGCTTCTGGTTCTAGAACAAAGGAAATTGATCAGATCTGAGGTCGACAAAACTGTCAAAGGGTCGACAGCCAAGAGAAAAACGTGTGAAACAGAAAAGTTTGAACAGAACGTCTTGTCACTTTTCTGTCTCAAGTTTGAAAGTTTCTATGTTTTTTTTTTGCGGAGGCAAACCACTTCCTGTCACCTGCCTGCAGGTGTTTGAAGCCTCGTCACCCGTAATTGACCTGACCTCTGACTTCTTTAGAACTTTTCTTTAGACGAGCACGTCACAGCTTCTGAAAAGTTTCAGCCAAAATTAGAAATTAAAACTTTTAAATTTAAAAGCGAGCTGATAGATGTCCAAAGATAAAAAGTTTTTGCTGTTCAAACTGTTTGTTTTTGCTTGGTTTCTTGTTTCAGAGTCGAAGAACAAACTGAACCAAAACACATGTTATATATTCAGTGAATTTTCACCATTTTTTATATTGTGACATAAAAAGCTTCGTGTGTCAGGATCCGTCTGCAAACGGTCAAAACCAAAAGAGTGAAAGAAACGCCTCGACCAAACGATCAATAATAATTATTACAACCAGAGTCTGTGAGTTCAGGTTATGGTTGAATGTCTCTACATCTTCTGTCTCTGCTGCTGACAGTGACCCCACAACCTCTTGACCCCATGACCCTGTGAACCAACAACTGTGACCCAGTGAGGCTGTGACCTCACGACACTGACTCAGATCTGTAGAGACATGTTGACATCTCTGACGTCACTTTGATGAAATGTCATTCAGTTGCCATGGTTGCCATCAAACCACAGTTACATCAAGTATCGTTTAGGTCAAATCAGGTCATGTTGTCTCAGAGTCATGTCCTCTGTCCTCACGGTCAAAGGTCGTTGGTCAGCGTCAGAGTACAACAACAGAAAATGTTTTATAAAAATGTTTTGTTGACAGAACTTGATTCTTTCAGTTCAGATTTTTCTGAGAAGAGGAAATTCTGTCAAAATGATTTTTTTTATGATTGTTACTGATAATATTCAAATTATTACATGTTTTTCCTGTTTTCAATATTTTTAACTTTTTCTTGTAGTTGAATGAAAGTGTGAAAATGTTTCTAGAATTTGATAAAAGTTGTTTTCAGCTGAAGGTCGAGCAAATGATCAACCACACGTTTTACTTAATTTAACATCATAATATGTTAAATGAAGTAATTATCACGTTACTATGAGGTCATCATCATGTTATTTCACAAACGTAAGGGTTAGAAAACCTGATGCTGCTTAGTGAATGAAGCTAGAACCAATGAGAAAAGTGAAGCTTTAATTTACTGATTTCTTTTCTCGGAAACATTTTATTTTTAATAGTGTCTAAAAAACAAAAATTTCCCAAAAGCTTTAA